CTCTGAGAGGCTGAAGCAGGAGGATCACAAGTGTGAGCCCAGCCTGGGCAACTTAGCAGTTTAGTGTTATCCTGTCTTAAAAAAAAAAAAAAAAGGTAGGACTTGATATAAGCACACTCATGCTTTGGACTTAAAGCCAAGGATCTTCCCTCCATCCATCCAATCATCCTGAACAAGCTCCTAAGATAGTGTATCAGAAATCTATATACAACTACCTATATTTGGGCTATGCCTAGGTTCTAAAGCACCTTTATCTATTTCTGTTTTTTAAAAACACTTCTCGGGGCTGGGGATTTAGCTCAGCGGCAAAGCGCCTGCCTGGCAAGCGCAAGGTCGTGAGTTCGGTTCCCGGTACCAGAGAAAAACAAACAAACAAAAAAAAAAAAATAAAAAATAAAATAAAAACATTCCTCATAGAATTTCCAGGGTGCTCTAATCTCCATCTTTCAAAATAAACAAAAAACCTTTTTCTCAAGCCATTTCTATGAAAATTTTAGGCAGGGAAGTAATGTCTTATAAAGCACCAAAGAACACACAAGTCAATGTCCAAGTACTGAATATGACTAGAAAGTGCTACTACACTTGGAAATACTGCTGAACAAAACTACATCAGACATGTAAATATCCTATACGAACTCACTATTTAGCTTTGACCTTTGAAGGTGATTTCTTACTTACGACTTTGAGAAACATTCTCAAATGGCAGGGATAAGGAGTCTTCTCCAGGGCACTGAGTGCCACACTGGCCATATACTGCCTCAGGTGGCAAGCCCGAAGGGAAGAAGGCTAACTCACAGATTACCACTTATCTAGTGGCCCAGTGCCACCACAGATCCTCCTCTTCACAGCAGCAGCAAACAAAACCAACAGAAATCAACCCAAAGAACACTTGGTAGAAAGGCCTTGGTCTTAGTATAATAAATTTTCCTATGAGAAGCAAACTTTCACGTTCAAGAGGTCAAAAAAGGTTTAAAAATCTTGATTATAATTAGAAATATCAAAAGACAGGTGTCACTTAAAAATGAACTCCCTAAATGTAAATCAAAAAGTCTGTATCAGAGCCAAAGAAGCTATTATAAGCTGCTGTATAAATAGGCATTTAATGATATTTTCCCCCAATGTTACATTATTGATCTAACAGGCCCTCTGTTTCCATTGAAATGACTAAGTAATTTGTTTAAGATAACATTAATAGGATTTGCACCACATTAGATACCTTGGGTCCTCCACATCATTAGAATGGCTACTATAAAAAACAAATTTTACACTATCTTTCAATAAAACTTCTGCATAATTTCTGAAACCCAACCAGAGACTCTAGATTTATCTATCCATCAAGCACAAAAAGGCATTTCTAAATCAAAATACCATAAATATCACTTATTCAATTTAATAAATATTGCACAGTTACTTACTAATGTCAGACACTAATACTCTAAGGATTATAAACACAATGGTGAACAAGAGATATGATTCTTTATCTAAAAGAGTTATCTGTTAAAAAAATAAAAACAAGATGCCAAGGATAGTATGCAAGCAGGAGGAACAAAGGTCTCATCCCTTATGAAGGCAGCCGGAGAAAACACCCAGAAAAAGTGGTATTTATGTTAAGATGAGGCAGAAGCAGGACGCAACCCAGTTCTGCAGGAGGTAATGGCTCAGCCAAAGATGGCTCTGGCAAAGGAAACTATCTACCAGCTACTTCAGTAAGGGTTGTCTTTTGGGCAGGAAAAGAAACTACAGGGAAAAGTAAACTTTAATAGCAAGGTTGCACATAGCAAAAGACAACAATCATCTACTCCTTAATCCAGAGAGAAAAAAGGCAAAAGGCCATAATTTCATTGTGACCCATTCCCCATTTGCTCGCATGTCACACTGTGTGCCACCACAGAGGATTCAGTGGTGGACAAGATGGACTCCATTTTGCCCACAGGGAGGCAACACAACCAATCAAACAATCACCAATACAGTGCTTTGGTTGCATGCGATTCTGACATGTAGCTCTTTGAAATCCATTATCACACTTTAAGAGTACTATCTGAAGACTCTCACAATAATTAATAAGGGAGCAATCACTACTTGACATCAATGTAATAAGAACATTAAAAGAAACTCTGACATCTCATACATATACACAAGGAAGTTTGCGGCCTTTTTAAATGAAATACTATTGCCTAGTGTTTTACAGATTTCAAAGTACTTTTACGTAGTCTCATTCTCACTGTTCTAAGCACAGAGGCCAAGCAGATGTTTTAATGATTACCTACCACTTGTCAGGCACCAAGGGTGGAGTGTCAGGCTCTTTGCTGGGAACCTAATGTCATGATCTCATTTCATCCTCATGACCATCCTGCAAAGTATTATCACCACCCACTCATAGACAAGAAGCCTGTGGCTTAGAGGTTTATGTAACTAATCCACAGACACATGGCAGATGTAAGGCAGAGCCAGAGTTTGTGGCCGGGTCAGTGTGACTTCAAAGCCTGAGAATCTTCTTCCTTCCCAGCACAAGGGTTCTGTGTCACCTGAGTGTGACCAGCAAGGCAGCTGGAGTGTGGACCTGAGCACAAGAGGCAGGACCAGACTGCAGAGCAGGAGTTCTAGTTCTATATTCCTTGAGCCATGCGGTAGCCTCACTGCCATCTGCACCTGGAAGCTATCTTTTAGCTCTTTAATTACTTGATCCTTTTGGATTCTTCTAAACCACTTTTCTAAAGACTGTGGGACATCACAAAAATACACCCGAGCAAGGATTAAAATATTTAACAATCAATGTCATTCACACTCTGCATCCAAAGCTATCTTCAGGAGCTATGTGCTCCTGAGGTGCTCTTAAGTAACCATAAGAAAGGCTCAAAGTTATTGTCCAGTGGGTTAGCCAGCTTTCCACCTCTGTGAAAAGTACCTGAAAGTAACAATTTAAAGGAAGGGAGGTTTGTTTTGGCTCAGTGGTTTCACAAGTTTCAGTCCATACTCATCTGGCTCTCGTACTTCTGAACTCGAGGTCAGGCAGTACCTGGCGGAGCAAGGCATGCTCACCTCACGGCAGTCAGGAAGAAAGGAGGCGGGGTGTGGCACAGGGAAGGAAAGTGGGGGAAGGGCGGGGACAAGCTATAGTCTCCGAGAGCATGCCCACCTCCCTTCGACTAGGCCCCACCTCCTGGGTTTCCATCACTTCCCAATAATGTCATCAAATTATGAATTTACCAACAAATTAATCCACTGATAAAGGCAGAGCTTTCAGGACCCACTCACCTCCCAAAAGGCCCATCTCTCAACTTTGCTGAACTGGAGACTAGGCCTCCAACATATAAACATTTGAGAAACAGTCCAGATCTAAACAAAACACTAAGCTCTATATACACAGTATCAAGTAATGTTCACAATAAGAATAATCACTCTGCACTATTATTCTCAGTTCACAGAGATAAGTAGAAGCTTATGTTTTGTTTTGTTTTGTTTTGTTTTGTTTTGCTTTGTTTTTTGAGACAGGGTCTCGCTATGTAGTTCAGGCTGGTCTTGAGCTCACTTTGTAGCCCAGGCTGGTCTTGAACTCGTAATGATCCTCCTGCCTCAGCCTCCCAAGTGCTAGGATTACAGGTGTGTGCCACCATGCCCAGCCCAAGCAGAAGCTTATGACGATTAAATAATGCGCTGAGAGCATGGCTCAGTATTAGGGCACATACCCACCATGTTCAAGGACCTGGGTTTGACCTCCATCCCCACACCCTACGGAGAAAGGGTTAATTAACATAGCCAAGGTCACACAAATATAGGTGGTAAAGCAGTATGATTCTAGAACCTAAGCTTTCAATCTCTGCACAGGGCTGGTATTCCTGCAATGGTCAGATAATTAAACAAAAACACGAAAGTACTATGATCTGAATTTGTATGTTTATCAAAGTTTTCATATATAATTACTCAAGAGTTATATAATCAAAATTATATAGTCTTAGTGTTGGACACTCTGTTAAATAAAAAATAGACGTTATCACTTAAAACATTTTCACACATTTTTACATTATTAAGTACTTGGAATCTATTTGAATATACAGCTTAAAAATACCTATTTTTGCCAGGTGTGGTGGTGCATACCTATAATCCTAGTACTGAGGCGGCTGAGGCAAGAGGACCACTGCAAGTTCGAGGCCAGCCTGGGCTATACAGTGAATTCAAGGCCAGCTTGAACTACATAGTGAGACCTTGTCTCAAAATAAAACAAAACAATATAGTTTTCAATTTTTTATTAAGTAACTTTTTGGGGTTTTTTTTTGTTTTTTTTGTTTGTTTGTTTGTTTTTTGAGACAAAGTCTCACTATGCAGTTCAGGCTGGCCTTGAACTCACTACATAGACCAGGCTAGCCTCGAACTCATGACAATCCTCCTGCCTTAGCCTCCTGAGTGCTGGGGTTACAGGCATGTGCCACCAGGCCCAGCTTAAAATAACTTTTCACCTTAACAAAATAGAACTTAGTGATGGCTAATATCAAAATTACTTAGGGTTCAAAAGAGATCTGCTATTTCAACTTTTCAGAAGTCTACTTTAAAGGAAACAAAATACTCCAATTATTTGTCTGTAAAACAAATATGTGGTATCAGTTGAATGGAGTCAATAAATACTTCACAAATGCTTATAAACAAATGGGAAGAGATACAAACAGGCCGATACAGATATCATTTTTGGTGTCCCCTCAAGTTACTATTTCTAATTCTCAAAGTAAATCTGTAATCATTTTAGTAAAAGCACAAACGGAAGGAACAGAATAGAGGTAAGTGAAAAAATATATTATGGACTCTAGTTCATGAACCAAGAACTGTGTCTTATTTTCTCATTTATACATGATAATCCATAATATTGTTTCCCTTAGTTTACAGACAAGCTCAAGAACAAAGCAGGTTGGAATGCCAGTGAATCAATCAGCTGGCTCACGCCACAGCTTTCAAACTGAGGGCAGCTCCCACTTCACTGAATACACAAAACACATGTCAGCAACACTTACCAATTGGGACTTGTTCAGGCTGGCTGAGAGACACAAATGCTGATGTATCATCAATCCAGGATATCTGAATGTTACCTGTTAACACCAAGTTGAAAGTAAAGTGACCATTTGACCATAGAGAGAGCTTCCAAGAGTTACGTGGTGTGTGTGGCATGTTTCAACATAGGCTAGAGCTTACAGAGGTAAGTTACTTGATCAAAATCTTAGATGACAGAGTTAGCCTGCTTCCAACTTAAATTCACCACAGCCATGATTTCTGTTAAAATTTTAAAAGAAAAAACAAACCAGGGAAGATTAGTCATTGGAAGTTTGTTTTAAAAACTAAAGAAAGTTCCTTGCAGATTAAATCCTGGGCACACCATCATTCAGCCCAATCTTATGTCAGGGTTGGAGACTTTTTTTCTTCTCAACAAAACTGAAGACCATACACATTAAAAAACAGACTATTTCTTTTTAGAAATGGTTACATTTTTTAATGGTTACATTTTTGAATGGTTTGTCACACATCTCCAACTGTTGGGTAGTAAGGGGGAGAAACTTAATCCCACTATAGGATTTAGACTCAGGCCTTTAAGAGATGATTAGTACTAAATAAGCCATTAGAGTAGGGCCTGCAGGATAAAATCCCAGTGGCTTTCTGAGAAGAGGGAGAGATCAGACAGATACACACACATATGCCTCCTTCCCGTGCCAGTGAACCCTGCTCTGTGTGGGAATTCTGCCATCAAGCAGGCCATCACCAAATGTGTGCCCAAGACCTTGTTCCTCCAGAATCTCGAGCCAAAATAAACCTTTATAAATCACCCAGTTGATGCTATCTTGTTATGAGCAACAGAAAACAGACTAATATATACACAAAATGAAAATCAAGAATAGTGAATAAGAAAATGAGTCAGGAAACACTACAAGTAAGAAAAATCTGATGTTGCAATTCAGGCCAGAAGACAAGGGGAAAAAAAAAGAGCCAGAGAGTGAACCAAAACAGACCACGGAGGGGGAAACAGAGAAACTAATTACGCGCACATGCACAGAGGCAAATACCAACAAAAAGCTAAGCACAGAAAGAGTGGAATGGAGCCCACTGGCGCGGGCGGACAGGAGGAAGGGAGCAGGGGCACAGGCAGCTGGAGGAAACAGAAGGTAAAAGCACAGCCCTCGTGATCTGCTACCACTTGACCTGAAAAAATAAAAGACTGGGCTTTACAAAAATGAGTAAACACCATCAGAATTTAGCAACGAAAAAAAAAGTTCTCATCCCTCTTAAAATTTTAGAAGGCTAGGATTATGGGGTGGGGGTAGGATCTTGTTCTGAGTTCAAATTTGCAGAGATTGTCCCGCCTCAGCCTCCCAAATGCTGGGATGACAGGTAAGCACCACCTGCCTGGCTAGAAGGCTAGGAATTTTTGAAAAGTGCTTTGTATCACCCACAAAGAAAAAATAAAAATAACCTCACTGTTGGCCATACAGTAAGGCAATGTACTGACTCTCCCAATTACAAAAGTCGCTTACTGTTATTTGGTTACTTCTCAACCCTGTGAACATGAGTTGTCCTTTAGGTAAATGACAATAGCTAACTCCTATTGAGTGGATACTTACCCAAGATCACACAGCTTTTTCTTTTTTTAATTAAAAAAAAACGCTACTAAGAGCATTTTATTTAATTTAGCCAATTAAAGTTTGAACTCACGGGGATAAGAAGATAACAAGAAGAGAAACAACAAAAGCTTCCAAAAGAAATGAACCTCGACATTCAACTACATTTCCACATTGTATGTAAACTAAAAAGCAGGACTAGGACTTTAGAGGACATCTAGACTATCTATTTGCAAAGAGCAGGGTCATTCTCTAAAATAGACCTGCTTTCAGATAATTTTCTAAAAATTAAGAGTATCAGGATATTTAAAAATTTATACAGTATGGTACTGGCATAAAAATAAACATATGGATCCATGGAACAGAACAGAAGCAGAAATAACCCCAGGCACATTCAACTATTTGATCTTTGACAAAAGGGCCCAAAACATACATTGGAGGAGAGACAGTCTCTAGTAAATGGTGCTGGGAAAAATTGGATATCCACATGAAGAAGATTGAGTCTAGACCCATATATCTCACCATGTACTAAACTACAAGCCAAATGGATCAAAAATCTAAATGTTAAAACAGAAGTACTTTCTGGGCAAGGTGGCACATGCCTATAATCCCAGCACTAGGGAAGCTGAGGCAGGAGGATTGCTCCAAGTTCGAGGCCAGCCTGGGCTACAAAGTGAGCTCAAGGCCAGCCTGAACTGCATAGCGAGACTCTGTCTCAAAAAGACCAAAAGGAAGGAAGGAAGGAAGGAAGGAAGGAAGGAAGGAAGGAAGGAAGGAAGGAAGGAGGGAGGGAGAGAGGAAAGGAAGGAGGGAGGGAAGGAAGGAGAGAAGGAAGAAGGGAAGAAGGGAGGAAGGGAGGAAGGGAGGAAGGAAGGGAGGAAGGGAAGAAAGAAAGAAAGAGAAAGAAAGAAAGAAAGAAAGAAAGAAAGAAAGAAAGAAAGAAAGAAAGAAAGACCAGAAACACTTAACTGCTAGAAGATAAAAATAGGTGAAACTCTTCAGGATATAGGTATAAGCAAGAACTTTCCGAACAGAACCCCAATGGCATGAACAGCAGTAGCACAAATCACAGAAGGGATCACATCAAATTAAAAATCATCTGTACAGCAAAGGAAACAACCAACAGTGAAGAAAAACCTAAACAATGGGAAAAAAAATTGCCACCTATTTCTTAGAGGACTAATATCTAAAATATATAAAGAACTCAAAAAAATTAGATTCCCCCCCCCAAAATAAAAGACTCAATCAAAAAACGGGCAACTAAAATGACTATACACTTCACAGAAGAAAACATACAAGTGGCCAATAAATATGTAAAAAAATATTCAACAATGCTGGCCATTAGAGAAATGCAAATTAAATAACACAGATTCCATCTTACTCCAGAAAGAATGACCATCATCAAGATATCAAGTAATAAAAAATACTGGCAGGACTGTGGGCAAAACACTCTTCTGTATTGTTGGTGGGAATGTAAACTAGTACAATCATTACGAAATCAATATAGAGAGCCTCAAAAAACTAAAGCTAGAAATTCAATTTGACCCTACCCTCCCCGTCCTACGTATCTTCTTGAGAGTTAAAAGTCATCCCATTACAGTGATACATGCATACTCAGGTTTACAGCAGCACAATTATACTAGCTGAATCTTAGAAATAGCATATATCAGCAATGGCGAACCTATGGCACATGTGCTGCAGTGGGCTGTCTATTATCACTGAAAGCCCAAAAGGTTTGCCACCCCTAGCCTATATCAACAGGTGAATGAATGAATAAGGAAATATGGTATTTATACAGAATGGAGCACTACTGTGCCACAAAGAATGATAAACTTGAGGCATTCATAGGTAAACGGATGTACCTTAAGACCACAATATTAAGTGAAATAAGACACCCAAGTTTAGATATCCCACGGTTTCTCTTACTTGGGAAACCCAAAATTTAATTAAAAGCAAAATAAAAGATAAGTAACAGGAAGTTGAGAGATTTATTTCAAATAGGAAGGGAAATGGAGATGGAGAGAGAGGCAGAGGGGAGACAGACGGGATAAAAACACAAAGGATTGAAAGAAAAAAATGGAAACAGAGCTTTTGCAAATGGGAAATGGACCAAGAGACAGAAGGAGGAGGAAGGGACAGGAGGGGAGAGGACAAAAGGAGCAGATGTGCTAAGTCCATGTGCCAACTCCCATGATAAATGTAACCATGATGTACTACAAACCAGTACTGATTTTTTTAAAATAAAGAAGAGGTACTATGCGTTTATTTTAGATAAAACAGAAAAGCTCAGAAGAAGAACAAAAATCTATCGAAAACAGCATGGTACCTCCTTTCAGTCTGACTTCTATACATAGTTTTTTAAAAATAGTATTAGTCACAAAGGAGTCCTAAAATATACCTGCTTTTTACTCTTAAACTATAAACACTTAATTTTTTTTAAATGGCTGCATATCAGTCTGCTGAGGAGATACATAAATATTTAGTGAACATTCTTACTACTGAACATTTAGGTTTTCACTGCCTCTGCTTCATCCAAGAATTTGAAAAGAGAACAAATAGCTTAAATATTTCATTTCTTAAATAAATAGACTGCTGCAGTCTTTCAGTCAGGATGGTCTTTACAAGCCCTAGTCAGAAGCCTGTCCAAACTAACCTAATCACATACGATAAAAAGGAAAGAGAACGGTCCTGTCATAGTATCTCACATCTTGTTCTGCTCAGACATCTGTATTTGTTGTTTTAATTATTTAACCTCAAGCACAGTCTGCTTGTCCTCCCAAAACACATTTTCTCAAAAGAATTACTGACTCTCAGCCTACTTGGACCAGCCTTGTTTTCCCTGGCCAGCAGTAAAGACAGGGGTGGGGATTTAGCTCAGCGGCACAGCGCCTGCCAGGCAAGCGCAGGGTTGTCAGTTCGATTCCCGGTACCGGAAAAAAGAATAAAACCAAAAACAAACAAAAAACCACAACAAAAAAAGCAGTAAAGACAGTCATATTAATGGTATCTTGCTATGGATTAATAGGACTATATTGGGAAGTGTCAGTAAAAGCTCCTCAGATCACATTAGCACATAAAAATTCCACGAGTGAAATTAAAAACTTGCATATTTACATTCTTTTACACCTGCCCTGAAACAAACTACCTCTGACCGCCTATACCAAAAGGCATGTACATCTGTACTTAGACTTTACTTACCAAAGGCACTGAATAGCTGATAAAGGTCACTGCTTTTCCACTCTTTGGGGAACGTTACATGGAGAACATGATCGCGTTTAGGTTGCACTAGGAGACAAGTATGTGATGACAAGTTGATAGCTGAAAAGTGATCAAGTAAACCAGGGATGCTTTGATGAAATGAGCCCACGCTAGTTTGAGGAATTACCAGGAACGCCTTGTGAGTACCAAAGAACTCCTAAATGTATTCTTAGGACTGGTGGATTCTGCAATCACAATCTAGACCTCAGCCTTTTTACTGTACGTGACCTATCACAATTTGATACTTAACCTAACAACACTTCTTTTCATGAAATTCCTGTATAGATTATGTAAAGAGGAATCAAAAGGCGATTGTATCCAAGAAGTTTCACTAAACATTTGACTTTTTCCTTTTAAGCTAGCAGTTTATGTATTTAAAGACACAGTGTCCAAATAAATGGACTATTTTTAATTAGAGGCAGTCTTTAGGCACAGTCTTGGGCACTACTCCAAGATCCATCACTTAACTTTGCAACTCTATGCAGGAGATCTAACCACTTTGACCATTCCTGGCTGTGAATGGGGGATGTCAATATTTCTATTACAGAATTACTGTGAAGATGGCATACTAATAAGAAGTGCAACACAACAGTACGTCCTGGAACAATGGCTGCAGCAGTTATTATCACCCATTTATTATCTATCACACTTCATCCATTTCTACTGCAGACACATACAAGTTTCAAAGCAGATAAACCGATGCTAGAAAGAGCAATGAAATTTAAAAAAAGGATGAAACGAAACAAAAGAAACAGCAACCAAACTGATGACATTTGAGATTTTGTGACGTTTTTCATTTCTTTCTGTGTGTGTCCTGGGAAGTGAGTCCAGGGAGCATGTATGCCACAACTGAGTTACATCCACAACCTTTCAGGGTTTTTATGGCAAACAACAACAACTCACTGAATTAACTACATAATTATTCAAGAAACTGAAAAATACAAATTTTTAACAAGTAACTGACATATATGGACTATCTTAAAATCTATTATAAATATTTACAGGAAATGATGAAATGAGAATTCTGAGAGAAAATCAAACAATAAAATGATGTATTTTTTAAAAATTCAACTCACACATTAGCTGGAAAATGTAAGTAAAGAGATGACTAATGAAAGCCGAAGGGTCTCCTTAACTTTAAGCGAAATACATCAACCACAAAATCACTACTCATTTTTAGTGAGAAAAGTTCTTTCTTCAATATTTTGCCGTTCTCCCTTTTAGACCACACACTTAAATGTGCAGATGCAATGAGAAAATAAAAATTTACTTACAGTCTGGTCCTTCCAAGTTTAGATAGGGGATATCCATGACCCTCATCAGAAATAACCTATAAAGAGAAGGAAAAAAAAAACAACAGGCAATGAATAAATTTTTTAAAAAACCAACAGAGACATCTATTAAAATGTCTTAGGGGAAGCTTCTTGATTATATTACTCTATTTCTAAAATAATTTTTAAATGGTCTTAAAACTCATTTTCAGAGATTTTTCCCAGGCTACATATTATCAAAAAAAAAAAAAAAAAAAAAAAAAAAAACTGGTGTATCCCTGAACAGTTTCTGTTACTCAGTAGTTGCTCAGTGAATGAGATTAGCAATTAAAAAGTCAAAAGGCAGTCCCAAGAGAGCTTCCTTGTGTGTCAGTCCAAGGAAATTCTAAGAAAATAAATATTAACCATCTTACCAACTTATGAATAAGCATTCCTACAAATTATAAAGGCAACTCTAATGAATGGTGTTTGTGGAATAACAGCATCAGTTTTTTTCTTTTTTAAAAAAATATGCAAACTTATTTTTTATAGTGCTGGGGATCAAACCCAGGTCTTCCCATGGTAGACAAGTGCTCTACCACTGAGCTACAATCCTACCCTTGTTTCTTTTTTAAACGAAAAGCAAAATTACTGACTAAATGCTAATTTCTTTGGGTAAACTGCATAGTCTGAAACAAGTGACTGTCTCAAAGTCCACATCATTATTGTCATTTAAAACACACTAAAAGCACAAAAGAAAGCAATTCCTGGTAAAGAAAATTATCACACAAATATAAACTATAGCATTCATTTTACAAAGGCACTCAAAAAAGAGAACTTGTTAATTATAGCGCTCTGTAATGTCATTACATTTTGCTTTATTTGCAAGACTATGAACAAAATATCAGACGTCCTGTTCTGTATAAGATGATTTTAATGAGTTTTACTCGGATAACAATATGTTGTATGTTTCCAGTAGACTACATTATACAGCAAATTAAAAAGGCGATCCAAATGCCCGACAAGCAATTAGTTTGGCTTCACTGACCTGCAATTAAGGCACATTATTACCAGGCATTCACAAGCCAAGTGGGGTATGATCTAGTTTACAAACAGAGCCATCAGCATGAACAACACTGCTCTGTTAATGCCCTGAAAAACCAAACTCATGCTAGTCTGTGGTCTGAGAACTGGTATGGCCTACAATTTAGCAAACCAGATCCATGGCTAAGAAACCAATTTTATTTTTAGTTCACTAATGTGAGCTAAAGTATACTATTCTGCTTTTGTAAGCTGTGTTATCCTCATTTAATCAATACTGTTTGCAATGCCAGAAAATAGTAAGATACATAAAGCACCTAGCACAGTAGGTTCTCAAGGATAAAGGCAGCTGACATTACTGCTGTCAACCACAACCTGGTAAGATATTCCTAGGTTAGGAGGCTCATTATGTTTATGCTGCATGTAATTTTCAATTCTCCATTTAGTAAATTTAGACATAGTCTCCAAATGCTAAAAATAAAAAAAGTTTTTCATTAATTAAAGTTAATAAAAAGCTGGGGGTATAGCTCAATGGCAGAGCACTGGCCTCATAGGGGTGAGGCCCTAGGTTCAGACCCCAGCAACACATATACACATACATGCACATGTGTGCAGTTAATGAAACATATCAAGCACCTTAAAAATAATTTTAAATGTTTACTCTAATTTCAAAAGAATAAAAGTTGAATCTCCAAGATGTTCACTGCTATACTACAAATATATTCATCATAAAAATCAACTTCAATAATATGAAGTCAATAAATTAGTTTAAATTTTCAATATAATAAATAGCAAACAACTATTGAAGAATGATACCAACACATGAATAACTTGGTGTACAATTTTAAGTTTTAAAAAGCACCAAATATGGCGGCATCCTAGCACTAGAGAGGCTGAGGCAGGAGGACTGTGAGTTTGAAGGCAGCCTGAACCACAAAGCAAGTTCAAGGTCAACATGGACTACACAGAGGGACCCTGTTATGGTCTGTGTCTGGATGTCCCTCCAAAGCCCCTCCTGCAGTCATGGGGGCAAGGGTGTTCTGGAGGCAGGTGAATCTAGAGTTTGTGATTGGTTCACTGTCTATGCAGGGATTAGGGGTATGAATGTATACCCGCCCTAGGGCAGGTAGCCTCCATATAATATAAGAGAGAATAAGAGGCTCACTCCTCCCCTTTTGCTCTTGTTGCTTTTGCTGTCACCCAGCTGCCATGAAGAGTTGCTCCTCAGCCATGCCACCCTGCCTTGGAGCCAGCTGATTATAGACTGAAACCTCCACAGACTGTGAGCTAAGTAAACCTTTCCTTCCTTAATTTTGAGTGTCAGGTATTTTGTCTCAGCAACACGAGAAAAGTAACTAAGACAGACCCTATCTGAAAAAACAAAGAAACAAACAAAAAAAGCTGAGCATAGTGAAGAGATCCTATCTCAAAATAAATAAATACATACATAAAATAAAAAGGCTGGGGATGTTGCTTATAGTAAGGGCTCTGAGTTCAATTCCCCAGTGCCTCCTGCCAAAAAGCAAAAAACTTGTATACTATGATTACTGAATCTCTGTAAAATGTTTGTCTTTAAGCAAGAAGAGAGGGGCTGGGGATTTAGCAGAGCAGCACAGCGCCTGCCTGGCAAGCGCAAGGTCATGAGTTCGATTTCTGGTACAAGAAGAAAAAATAAAAAACAAAAAAACAAAAAAACAAAAAAAAAAGAAGAGAAAATAATCCTCCTTTCACCCTCCCCCACAATGGTTTTGGCAACTCTGGCTTTGATTCTCAAAATTCCTTTTACTATCATTTTTGAAACTTAAAGAAAATAAAAGCTACTAGAATTAAAAGAGCCAAGGGAAATCACTAGAGATTTTTCTTAGAAGTCAATGGAATATGCCATTTGAACTAATTTTGTGTATCCTATGCACAATCTTACCTGGTGTCAGGGAGAACATATAGTAAACACAAGTGTGAATCTTTAATTACTTTACGTATTTTTGTTATTTCTAAAATCATGCAGCCTCAAAAATGAGTTCAGAAAAAATCTATTGTCCTACAAATACAACCAATAATTACCCTTAAAAAGAAAAAGAGGGCTTCTCCAGTTTCTCTCACCATATAACTATAAAAAAAATTTTTTTTGAAAAAGTCTTTTGTTATGTAATATATATAGGCTATTTGTCTCTATGGCTTCTGAATTTTAAAAATTATCTTTTATTTGTTTTGTCTTTTTGAGACAGGGTTTTGGTATGCCGTTCAGGCTGGTGTGAACTCACTTTGTAGCCCAGGCTGGCCTCGAACTTGCAGTGATCCTCCTGCTTCAGCCTCCTGAGTGCTGGGATTACAGGTATGCCCCACCATATCTGGATGAATTTTAAATATTATCTGATTAAAATAAATGTGCCAGGCATGGTGGCAGATGCCTATAATCCAAGCACCTAGGAGGCTGAGGCAGGAGGATTGCCACAAGTTCCAGGCCAGCCTGAACTACATAGCAAGATCCTGTCTCAAAAAGACCAAAAATAGCCAGGCATAGTGGTACATACCTGTAATTCCAGCACTTGGAAGACTGAGGCAGGAGGACTGCTGCCAGTTCGAGGGCAACCTGAGCTACATAGTGAGTTCAAGACCAGACTGATCTATATAGTAAGACCATGTCTCAAAGATTGGAGGCAGAGAGCAAAAAATAAATAAATGAAATGAAATGAAAGTACTTTTTAAAAAATAAACTTCATTCTCAGGTAAAATATGTTTTCAAAAAGTTTAGTTAATCCTACCCCACGGTGTTTTGGTATCTTGATACTTTAAATAGAAAACCATTTCAAATGAGGTTATTAATAGCACTGTTCAGTCTTCCCCTATGCCTCCACCTTCATGTCTGGGCTTCTGAGAACGGAACAGCCCCATACCCTGGAAGAACACAGAAACCAGCTCTGTGTGTGACTTGGCAGATTGTGGCTCTGGAAAGAGTCACGCAATTGTGAGACCAACTCTTACACTGTAACTGAGCGTCTGCAAACTAAACCTTCCCAGCAGCCTCCCACCCACCTTCTGCCATGCTGTTTGAGAGCCATCACTCTGCTGACATCCCTGCCCTTCTGAAGGACAATTAAAACTTTCAGTGCATACAGGACTCATCCAAACTGGCTGTCAAAGGGCCTGCACTGACTTCCCCTTCCACCTCCTTTCATCCCACATGTGCGATTCCAAGAAACGCTTCACACATGGATCAGCTAACTTCCCAGTTTTCACCTTAACCTATGAGGAGACATAGTAGGCCTGCAGGAAGGCTGATGCACACATGAAAGGGTGCTCCTTCACTGAGAATGGAACTGAAGAACAATCTCTGCCAGAAGGCCATTCATCTGCAGGTATCACAAAAGACATGTGGACTAACTGTGCATGAAACATTATTTCAATTTTCATGAGGATTTGAGATGGCTATAATATGGTCAAGGCACTCAAATAAGACTGTGCACGAGTCTTGCTACATTCCTGAACACTTTCTGGTGAAATTTTATTTTCCCACCACATTACTAAAGAATTGACATTAATCCTACCAAACACAAACATTAAAATTCCCAGTTAGTAGAGTGGCCAAAGTTACACCAGAATTCTACCCTAAGAAACTACAAATTCAAGTTCACATTGTAGTGACATAAAATAAAGGTAATCCTTTGTGGACTCTTTTTTTTTTTTTTTTTTTCCATGCCGTAAGACTATGCTAATGGGGACATGGTGTCTCATAGCTCTGAAACAAGTCTGCAAAGATTCAAAGGTAAAGCCCAGCATATTAGGGTCCTTTGTTCACATGGTGGGTAAATCAGCTTGGTCTTTCAATAGGACACGGAATGCCTTCACCTCCAAAGAGCCATCTCATCTTTGTTACCCACATGTTGAATGGCCTCACAAGAAGTGACCCTAGGGCTGGGGATTTAGCTCAGCGGCAAAGCGCCTACCTGGCAAGCGCAAGGTCGTGAGTTCGGTTCCCAGTACCAGAGAAAAAAAAAAAAAAAAAAAAGAAGTGACCCTCAAAACTTTTGCAACCAAGGCA